AAACCGTGGTTTGTTCTGTTCTTCTTCTCCTGCCTTCACTGCCCAGAGCTCCTGCTAATCATGTTCTTGCTGCCAATGGCACGCCAGTCCCCCGGGGTGATTGCTGCACATGCCTTCGGAAAGCTGTGCTGGTGCCCCGTGCTGGGATGGTGTTTGGGATGAGGCTGCACGTGGAAACATGCCAGCACTTGTGCCAGGGGCTCAGTGCTGGTAAGCTCCTGTGCACCCCTTGGGGTTGCTGTGCATGATGCTCCCTGGGACCGGCCCTGCAGTTTCCCTTCCATCTCTCCTGAGGTTTGCAATCTCTTAGCAAAGCAGGGGGGTTCTCACTTAGGAGCAGCACAAGCACTTGGATATTTCCCTTCAGTGGCCACAGGAGCCCAGGCTGGAGCTTTCAGCCTGCCCGGTGCTGTCGGTGCTTCCCTACCAGCACATAGGCTATAAACCATCTGCATTAAGTGCAAGGGAGCATCGTTGGGAAGGATAAGGTCAGGCCACCCTCATTTCCTCCCTGGTCTCATGGGACAGCCAGAAAGGCTGGTTCCTCTGGAATCCAGCAAAGGTCAGCCAGCCCCACTGCTCCCAGGCAGGCAGCGGAGTGCACTGACAATGCAGCCTGCTCTGCTGTGTTTAATGTGTTGGCTCTGCTCCCCTGCTTGCTCCTGGCAGCACCACAGGCAGTTTGGCAGCTCAGGTGTATCTCTTTCCTCGCCGTCCTTATGCTTTAATGAGGGATTCCAGGGAGTCAGAAAGGAAAATGGAACAGGTCAGTTTCTCTGGTCCCCATAAGTGTAGTAAGGGTAACGTCGGGTTTCCTGCCCTTTCATCGGGTTAGGAGCCAGCAGGGGCACATCTCCCCTGATGGGAGATGCTCACATGGAGCCACCAAAGCTCTGAGTAAGGGTTCTCCTGTCCCAGCACCCACAGGAGGATGTACCCGTGGCCAGGAGAGGCCAGACTGGAGCAGGAAGTTAAAAGGTTTACCCAGGTTGGTTTTGTCTGAAGGGTTTTACTGAGTTAGGGCTGAAGCATCCAGGGCTCATCCTATGCATGTGCATCCTCTTGGGATGTGCCCCATCCCGTATCCCACACTGGGATAGTTTTTCCTCTGGACTTTTAATGGAATTTCTGATTTTTGGGTCCCTCAGCAGGCTGCTTCCCAGACCCCATGTGATGGGGCAAACCCCTTCATGCTGGCATATACAGTGAGACAGGAATGGTGAAGGTAACACCTCCTATTCAGTCATCATTTCTTCAGCCCAGGATTGGGAACTGAACGTAAGTGGGCTGAGCATCTCCTCTGTGCTACTGCCTGGAGAGCTGGGAAGCAGCCATTCACCTCAACCCTCCCTCAGTTTCCCTTGGCTTGAAGGAAGCTGCTGATCCATCCCAGCCTCCCAGGCATGCCACAGGGATAAACAGCACCCGCATGGTCTTCAGCTACAATGGTGACGGGGCAACGTGAGGACGTGGACCAGCTGATGAGCATCGAGATGCAAAACATCCCTCAGACCCGAGCCTTGGGGCTATGTGGTTGCATTCCCCATCTCTGGGGTGAGTCAGATATAGAAGTGGAGTGATATGGAACAGCACAAAGTCTCTGTTTCAGAGCTGGGGTTGAGCAAATGAAAACGCAGCTTGTTCCAAAGGCAGCTTCCCTGGATGGCAGACAAAAAGAATCAATTTCCTTGAAGCAAACACTAAATATTAATGAGAGGCGATGGTCTGGCGTGCACACAGAGCTGTAAAGAACAATTCCCATTGATCAGCTGCAGAGACAGGTTTGTGGGGTGAAATTGCTTATTTGTGGCCCTTCTCGAGGGGCTTTGGGAAGGTTTTCCTGCCCCAAATAGAGCAAACTCAGAGCGCTTCCATTCTGCATCAGAGCAGGCACTGGGAACGCGTGCTGGTGCTTTCGTTGCTGCTTACACGTTTGCCTGAGCAGTTGGGGAGATGGATCCAGAAATCAGCCCTGGATTTATGTCAGGAAGGAGGCGATTCCTTGGGAATAGCAGGCCCCAGCAAGCACTGACCCAGCCTGCCAAAGGCAGAACATGGGGCCCAGGAGCACACCCTGGCTTTGCAGCCATATCCTCCCATTGATTTATTCCAGTAACGAGCACTGGGGGGGATGTTAAGAACACTGCTTGCAGCCCTCACCGAGTATCCTAAAGTGAAAGCAGAGGGCTGGGAGCTTTGGAAAAGGAGCCTTGATGTTTTTCTATTGCTCTGACCCTTGGGTAAGTGAGGGAAGTTTGTATTAACTCCGTTTCCAGACTTAGAGACCGGAAGGAAAGCAAGAATACTCCCTTCTCTCCATCAGCAGGACATGCAGCTGTGGTGGGGGGCTCTTTCTGCCTGATGCTGTGCTCACTCATGGGCAGCACGGTGCTGGCCTTGGCTGGGAGGCACACTGGGAATGGCCACAGCCTTTCCTGGGAGACTGCCAGTCTCAGCCCTGCATTTTGCATCCAGCATCATAGAACCATTCACAGCCTGGTTTGGGTTGGAAGGGACCTTAAAGCTCATCCAGCTCCAACCCCTGCCACAGGCGGGGACACCTTCCACTAGAGCAGCTTGCTCCAAGCCCCTGTGTCCAACCTGGCCTTGAACACTGCCAGGGATGGGGCAGCCACAGCTTCTCTGGGCACCCTGTGCCAGCGCCTCAGCACCCTCACACTTCCGAAGATCTCATCTCAATCTATCCTGCAGTCAATAACAACACATTCCATGAAACCATGAAGGCAGCTGCGGAGCTGTGGGGGGAACAAGAGCTAATATTAGCTAGAAATGACTGAAATTAGACCAGAGCCAGAACTAATTAGTTGTTGGAGGAACAGAACCAGACCCGGAACAAGTTAATTGCTATTGAAGTACCACCGGGGGGGCCTGGTGGGTGCCGCTGCTTCCAGCCCCACACAGGCTCCTGCTCTGCTTTGCTCGGGATGGCTCCCACATGGGCTCGGGAAGGAGCCTGGAGTCCCATCTGAAGGCTTTGGCAGTTAAATACAAGTCGGATCTCAGTCCCAGGCGGGGAGTTGGCAGCAGCAGGAGGCAGCATTAGCTGGGATGCGCTGGGAGTGATCCCGACGCGTCCCTTTGTCCCACCGCTGCCCAGATGTGCCTTTCTAAAGGCGAGGGTAATTATGAGGCTCTGATCCCGGCAGCATTCCCTTCTCTTTCGGCTTCAGCTCCGAGCTGCTTTGTGAAGCTCTCCACACAAGCCAGGAGCTGCCATTCACCCCCCAGGATCATATCCAAGGAATTAGGGACTCGGTAGGGATAACTGGCGCGCGGCTGCGGTTTTCTCTCTGTGCCTCAAGTCACCTGTATGGTCACTTCTCTTTTACTTCCCAAAGGTGGTAACTCACCTTTATATTTCCTTCCCCCCCCCCCACTCAGCACTCAAACAGCAGCTCCTGTTTTAGCAGCAGCGTGACGCACGGCGCTTTAAATTCAATTTAGAATACAAACTATTTATACCAGCCAGGAAAAGGCAGCGGAGCAGCTCTCCCTGTCATGAGTGGATTTGTAATTTCAGAGCAATCATTGCATAACTAATTGAATCAGCTCTCAGCATGTGAAATCAGTGCCCTGCTTATCGGAGGTTCGCATCGTTCTCCCCTCCTTGAAGCCAGCAGTTCCCCCTCCACCAGCAGCACTTTGTGCTTCTCCATCAGCCTAGGAAGGAAGCAGGACCTGCAAAACTGCCTTTCTCTGCTCCAGCAGAGCCAATAGATGAGCACATGCATTCAGAGCACATCAATAGCTGGGTTGCAAGTGCCTCCCCCAGTGCTGCCTGGTCTCCATGTGGTGGAGTGAAGTGCATTTAAAGCTAATGAAGTGCCTGCCGTGTCTGAGAAGCAAATTGGTGGTGAGATGTTCTGCTGACTCCCACATCCCTCTTCATTGCCCAAGTGCGCTCTGCTTGGCTTGAACTTAGGGCTGATGCAAACCCTAGGCTTGGTGCCTGAAATTGGAGCCTAAAAGAGGTCATAAATGAAGTGACAGCTTTCTGAGGGATGCAGGAGAGGTGGAAAAGAGGAGCTGTAAGGATTGCCATCAGCTTGGGAGTGAGGGTCCTGGATCTGATGACTTGGGTGGATCCAGCCCTATAGATTTTGGGAGCAGCTCCAACCACCTACATGCAGCAGCCTCCCAGAAGGAGAGCAAGGTGCTTTGGGCAGGGACCCATCAGCACAACCCAGAGCTCACAATTGCAGCCAAAGCATGCGTGAAGGATGCTAATGCCTCCCTGGAGATGCTGCCTGCACACATGTGAGTCCCGGGCTGTCACTGATGTGCTTTATGGGTTGTAATGAGACAGGCATGTGGGGATGTGTGGGGAGTGCAGATGGGTCCTTAACAGCTGCGATTGCTGAGTGCTAACAAAGGGCAGCTGGTTCAGTCTGAACAAATGGAAGCAGCTCTCAGGCAAAGCTGGTATATCTTGTCTGGAGAGAGCTTGCAAGCTTCTTTGGATGTGCATGGGTTGTTCCTGGCAGGTATGATCCCTAAGGCTGGATGGAGGAGATGACAGAGCCCAGAAGGTGAGAGCTGAGTGCTCCTGTCATCAATCCCCTACTTAGGGATCTGTTTTCCTTCCAGGAGAGCAATGCTAGGCTCTATGGCAGGGGCTTTGATGGCCTGTGGACAGTCTTAGCAGTACTCTTAGGCTTGTTGGATACGTGTTTTCCCAGCTCTGTGGTCCCCAAAACTGATGCGTAGTGTGGTTTGGGGATTATTCTATGAGCCTGTGCCTTAGTGCTGCTGGCTAGCCTGGTGTGCAAGGGCATATGCGATGCAAGCAGTGGCTGGCATGGGTAGGGGAAGGAGCTTTCATTGCCAGGCTTGGTTTAAGCTATGTCCCATCAGCGACCTATGCTTGCTTCCTGCACAAAAGCCCCATAGATGGTGTTTCCCACTCCATATGGGGTCAAGGCTTTGGGATGTGCCCGTGTCCTTCCATCCACCCTCTTTGTTTTCTGTTGTCTCTCCAGGTAGCCAGATGGGAGCACAACACACGAGCGCTCAGCCGAGTCTTTGGCTCTTCACACGCTGCCTGCTACTGCCTGGGTGCTGTTATCCTGCTGCTTAACTGTGTGCGGAGCCATTGGTAAGGAGCTAACCTTGCATGCAATGCAATGCCCCTCCAGGGCTTGGGAGGGATGAGGGATGTGGGATGTGGGATGTTTGCTCTGCAGTGCTGGGATGCAGCCCCAGTGCTACATGGTTGGATGCCTTCAGCCAGCAGCAGATCTATCCCAGGCTTTGTAACAAAAGAGGAGGGATGCTCTTGTGAGACCTCACCTGGAGCATTGTGTGCAGTTTTGGGGTTCTCAACATAAAAAGGACATGGAACTGGTGGAACAAGTCCAGAGGAGGCCACGAGGATGATCAGGGACTGGAGCACCTCCTGTATGGAGACAGACTGAGAGAGTTGGGGCTGTTCAGCCTGGAGAAGAGAAGGCTGCGTGGAGACCTCATAGCAGCCTGCCAGTGTCTGAAGGGGGGCTATAGGGATGCTGGGGAGGGACTCTTCATTAGGGACTGTAGTGACAGGACAAGGGGTAATGGGTTCAAACTGAAACAGGGGAAGTTTAGACTGGATATAAGGAGGAAATTCATTCCTGTGAGGGTGGTGAGGCACTGGAATGGGTTGCCCAGGGAAGCTGTGAATGCTCCATCCCTGGCAGTGTTCAAGGCCAGGTTGGATGAAGCCTTGGGTGCCATGGTTTAGTGTGAGGTGTCCCTGCCCATGGCAGGGGGTTGGAACTGGATGATCTTAAGGTCCTTTCCAACCCTAACTATTCTATGATTCTGTGGTGTGGCAGTGGCCAAACCCATCTGTGTCGACAGCTATTGAGTGCTGCAGTTTCCTTGCTTTGCTCTCTGGGGTGGTTTCTCCAGCCAAGGTGAGAGCAGGGCTGTTTGTACAGCATGGATCAGCCAGAGCAGCAGAAACTCTTCATTTTCTCCTAAACCAAATTAAACCTGTTTATAAGAAGCTGCAATTTCCTGTGTAGAAGAGCAGGATTATGTGTGCACTTAGCAAGCCCTGTCTCCAAACTCTTATCTGTGATCTCTTTAAATACTACCTAAGCAAGATACAGCAGGGGAATAGGTCCTTTGACATCCTGAGTGCAGCAGAGAGGTTTCACTGCGGAAGCTTTCCTCAGTGCCAGCAATTTATCTGCGACCTGGTAGGCTTTATCCTCAGTGCTGTTAGGAGAGGCAGGCTCTCTCCCTGAATTCCCAGATCCAATTATGCCAGGGTCAGAGCTCATGGGTTGTTTAGTGCTTTGGGTGATTTCCCAGGTGCTCTGCTCTCAGGTTGGAATTTGCACGTGTATTTAAGAGCTTTGCCTTCCTGGAAGTGACACCAAGACCTGCGTTTGCCCCAGCCACAGCTTATAGCAGAGCCTGTAGGAAGGCTTGCGGTGAATAGGGCTGTGATTGAAGGCAGGCAATGCAGAGGGCATGTGTGTGTGGTGCTGGTGTCTGAGGGACACAGCAGGCTTGGGTTTCGCTAGGGAATGTCTCGGCAGTCTCTTGCATGTATTACACAGTCACTTGTTGTTTGGGAAGCCAATGCAAAGCCTTGTGACTGCCTTTAAAAGCCCAACTGATGGAAGGGACAGTCTCAGTTCCCAGTGGTCCTGCTGGCTCCTGGCTCACAGCGAGGCCCTGATCAGAGCTGCTGGGAGAGCCAAAGAGACCTCATTTGTCCCAGCACTACACCGTGCTTTCCCCCTGCAGACCCTTCAGTGCTCTACCAGCCCCAGCATCACTGCCTGTGCTCTATGTCATGAGCTTGTGAGTGCTCTGGGGGTGCCTTTGCTTGCACAGACCCTGAAGGAAACCACAAGATCAGCCCAGGGGGCTGGAAAAGCTCCTTTTGGACCCTGGGTTTGGAGGAGGGGCTCTAGAAGATGGGGCAGCTCACCCCCAGCAGGATATGAGATGCCAGCCCACACCAATGGGCCGAGGCCAGATGATAGCAATGTGAAGGTTTATTTTGCTCAGGTGTTTTGGCACGGTTGGGTTATTCCCTTGCTTTTCCTTGGCACTGCAGTTGGCCTGAATGGTGGCTAGCAGGCTCTGGATGCTCTCCAAGCAAAGCAAGCCCTTAACAGTGGGAGTGATGGGATGGTTTTAGCGTGGTCACCAAGTGCTGCAGTTGCCCTGAGGTGCACATGGCAGACTCGCTGCCTCCATTCAGCCCACCCTCCAGAGCTGCCCAGGGCTTAATACTCAGACCTTGAGAGGTTGTGCTGTTTGAGAAGGATTCATCCTGCCCCTTGGGGTTTGGCTGGCCAAAGGGGGTTCACTGATCATACAGCATGGGCACTGTTGTCTCAGTGGCCAGCGATGCCTGGAGGGATGTCTTACCCATTCCTGCTGGTTTGCTTTTCCCTTCAATTTCCCAGTCTCTTATACTCAAGCACATTGATGTGGGCAGGTTTTCCACCCCTCAGCCCCACAGAGGCACAGGCTATGTCCTACGCTTTGGCTGCCCGTGGTGGTAGGTGTTGCTTGCGCAGAGCTGGCTGCTGCTAGCAATCAAAAAGGCCACCTCGGGGGGTCCCTGCACCCCCAGTGCTGTAATCCAACCTTTAAAGCTCCTCTCTGCGTGCTCTGGGGACCTTTTGTGTGTGTGGGCTGCCAAGGAGCAATTGAGGAGCTGCAGGATGTCTCTGGGGTTTAAAAACCGGCTTCCTTTTTGCAGCTGTAGTTTGAAAGGCTCCAAGCTGGGGGCAGAGGAGGAGAGGGCAGAGCAGAGAGCAACACTGTGAGAGGGTTGGCATCGGGGCTGAAAGCATCCAGGACCTGTGTGGCTGCTTCACTGCATGCCCCACGCAGGGATGTGTGCAGGGTCCTGCCCCCAGCGCAGCACCGTGATGCTCTCACGTGAGCTTTGCTCCAAAGGGGTACCTTGGGTGGAAGGGGAGGGATGTCTTGTGCTCAATTAAGCAATTAGGTGTTTCCCAGCTCAGGGCTTCATTATCAGGCTTGGCTGGCTTCTGAGAAGCAATCCAGAATGACCTGTGACCAGCAGGGACCTGCTTAGTCAATGGCACAAGACAAGCATCCTTAATCGCTTTGGTGCAGTGATTTTTTTCCTTACAGCCCTGTCCTTTAAGCAAGGAGCAGGGAACTTCCATCACTGGAGCTCTTATCTATGAAAACAGTTCCTGAACTTTTGAACTGTTTGCACTGTGAGCGCTACCCCAATGGTTTATGACCATTATCTGGGTGACATGGGACGTGACAACCTTCACTGGCCTCCAGCTTGGCTCTCTCCTGCCTTACCATTGATACCTTTCCCTGCAGGAGCTCTACAATGAGCTCCCTCCAGACCCCTTTTGCACCTTATGAATGTCTCACTTGAAGGGTTTTGGGGTGTTTGTCTGAGCTGTAAAAGCAACACCCATGTGCACACCTGAATGGGGGCTTGCTGATGTCTTGGGGTACCTGGGGCCAGTGGGAATGAGCCCCGCAGAGGTAGAGTGAGGGCAGAACCTTTGGCAATGTGCTGAGCTGACGTGAACTCCTTTACTGATGCCACCCACTGGTTATTGCTTCCTCCATGGAAAGGCTTCTTGTTGGAGCTGATGCTTCCAAGAAAATGAATCTACCCTGAGATGGGATTTTGCACAGGGAAGGGGTTGCCTTGTCATTGCCTGGTAGTGCCTCTCAGCTTTACACTCAGCGGTACCATGGAATAAGCATGGTGTAAATGGCATTGATCCAAGAACCACAGGGCCTTTTGTGCACAAGTGATTGAGTTCAATGATGGGAATCAAGCCTGAAGGAGCTGATGTCCCCTCTGAGCCACCTCTGACGGCTGTCCGGGAAGAGCCCCATGTGTCCAACAGCACCTCCTCTTCCCACCAGCACCGCGGCCAGGCATTGGGATGGAGGAGAACAGGAAGCTGAGATGCAAGGTAGGAGGGGAAGCTGCCACAGCCCCCAGCTTGACCTAAATAACACACACAGACACACACACCCACCCCTGGTGCTGGCAGAAAAGCAAAGTCATTATTGGCAGCAGAAGCTGTGAAGATGATGACCAAGCTAACAATTGCTGGTGGTACCCGCAGCGTGGTTTGAGTGTTGCTGGGGTTGCTGTTCACAGACAAACAAGCCCTTTTGTTGCAGTATATGCTGCTGGGCACCACTGGATGGTTTTACCCCCGTTGCTTTCTTATTGCTGAGAGGAACAAAACCTCATGGTGTGTGTGGGGGGATGGACTGACATCCCATATGGGGAGCGTGGCACTGCTCACTGAAACCTCGGCCACATCCACCACCGCTGCTTCCTCGCTGCCTGCCAGCTCCTGGCCCAATTCTGCCTCAATTTGTTATTTGCCAGCCCCGGTTTCCAGGCTGATTTTGGGGATTAGGCAAAGGGAGCACTGCTGGGCTGCTCCCAGCAGCGACCCAGTTTGCTGCATGAGGTCTTTGCCCTCCTTTGTGGGAAAGGGATGACAAAATAGGCTTGCTGTGGGCCTGAAAATCTCAGCTTCTTTGTGTTTCCATGTTTGCTTTATGTTCCATGCAGCCTTTGGGGGTGTGTTTTGGGCTGCGGGTTTGGCAAGTTTTCTGGTGGTGTAATTCCTGTTGTCTGGCTGAATAAATCAGTGAATGTCCTCCCTGTGTCCCAGTAAGAGGACCTACAGCCCATTTCCCTCACTCCCACCTTCTCCCTGTGTGACATCTCCATCCCTGTCCTTCAGGACCGTTTTGAGTGTATCTTCCAGTTCATGTGGTTTATTATGTGGTAAACTAGAAGAGATTCAGATGGGACCAGGAAGAAGCTCTTTATGATGAGGATGGGGAAACACCGGATCAGGATGCCCAGGGAGGTGGTAAATGGTCCATACGTGGAAACGTCCATGGTCAGGTTGGACAGGGCTCTGAGCTGCATGATGTAGTTGAGGATGTCCTTGCTAATTGCAGGGGGTTGGCCTAGGTGACTTTTACAGGTCCCTTCCGACCCAAAAGGGGTAAGAAAGGAAGAGGTGATTCATGTATAGTGATGGCTGAGTGTCTGAGCAAGTGCATCTCTGTCTTGGGAAGGGTGGGCAGAACATTGCCCACTGCCTTGGCTTCCCCATGCACAACCTTGCTGCATGCTGAGTCAGTTGTGCAACCACCCTGGCTGCTCTCATGCTGCCGGGAATGGGCCAAATGTGCCAATTTGGCTAGGGCAGAGCTGATGGATTTGGGCTGGGGTGGAGAATGGGCACCTCTGGTGTCACGCTTCACGTTGGCAAGATGGGGAGATGTCAGGGGAAGCCCCGTTTCCCCCCTTTCCATTTGCTGAAGGCACCTTGCAGTCCCCCCCTTTCCCCACTGCCAGATGTCCTCGTGATAGCAGCCAGGGATGTGATTAAAGTAGGTCGCAGCCTACCCAGCCCTCGCTGCGCTGGGAAGAGGGATGCTCCTCACCATGGCAATGGCTCTGTTCAGCGCATAAAGCATTTCCAGGTACTGGGACAAAGCACGGCTTTAATTGGTGTCCTCTTGGGTGCCTTCTCCTGCAGCCAGAAATAAATGGCTGTGACAAACGTGATTCAGAGGCACATGGTGGAAGGGACTGGTTTCATGACAGATTGCCTGCATGAGTAGCTCCCTTAGCGAGGGAGATGGCCAACACCTTGTCCTCCCCCTGCCAGGGAGGGTGAGATGTTCCCCCGCCACCAAGGAGCAGTGGAGGATGCTGGAATAATTGATGGCTCCGCGCTGCTTGTCATGGCCCAAGCATCACAAATGCTTGCAAGGTTTATTTACCAAGACTCCTGCGCGCATCATGTTTAATGCAAATAGAGAGTGTGTTTAGGAAGATATAAAACATTACTAGAGGGAAAGGCAGTCCATTATCTCCGTGCAAACACCTCCCTCTCTAGCTGTAAGCTGAACAGCAGGGGACCGAACAAGACATGCTGATGAGAATAACTAATGCAGACCTATCCGACCATGAAAGGGAAGGATGGGATCATCTGGAACAGGGGAGACGGCTTTGCCAAAACAAACCACGTCATGTGCTGCTTGCAGAGCCTCGGAGGCTGATGCGCAGACAACCGGTTCCTGCTCTTGAAGCCACCTTTGTTCTTCTCGTGCTCTGAGGCCAAGTCAGGTCACTGGCATAGGGTAGAGGAGCCTCAAGGAGGTGAGGATAAGCAGCCTCCGAGCGCTGTGATGTCGCTGTATCTCTCTGCTCTGACATCTCTTTGCTGGCAGCTGGGATCCAGGGACCAGCTCAGTGCTGCTTTCCCTGCCTCCCCAAGGGATCATCAGCAGTGGTTTTTAATTGCTGTGAGATCCCTTCCTTGTGCTGGTGCCCTATGGGGGGGTCCTGGCCACATGCAGAATCAAAGCCCCAGCGCTGTGAAAAGGCATTAGCATCATCTTTTATGGGAGCAGAGACCTCCGGAGCATCCCTGGGGATGCTTTGAGAGCTCAGCCAGGCCAGCACTGCTCAGGCAGATGGTCACATCCCTGCAGAGTTGCTTTCCTCCCAAACCCAAGCATCACTGGTGGCAGGGATGTGGATGTGGGCTTCCTCATAGGGGAGACTTGTGTCACTTCGAAACAAATAGCAGGGAGATGATGTAAAGGGTTGTGCAGCTGCTGCTGCTTCATCTTCCAGCCGGATTTGTGTGTTCCCATCAGGAATGATTTCCAGCCAAACCGACACGAGCCTGGTGAGCACAGGGAGGTGTGATGGGTGCTGGAGGAGGGCCAGCCCCAGGGACACGGGCCATTCCTCTGCCTGTACTCAGCTCCCTGGAAACCCGGATTGCCCTGTGATGTCCAGCATGGAGGGCAGAGTGTAAATCACCAAGGCTGTGTTCCTGCTCACTCCCAAGCACATTACATTTACGCTGTGTTTGGTTTCCTTGCTCCAGTCCAAAGCGAAGATGAAACGGCTCGCTCCAAGGTCCTAAGAATTCCCCGGCAGTAGAAAATCTAGTAGGAATGAGCTCTTAAGGAAAACACCATCCAGGTCCCTAACCCATGGGGTTGAAATCATGCTGGCCTTTGCTTGGTGTATGTAACTTGTTATCTGGCCTTTGAGCCTTCAAAAGCTGCGTTTCCAGCCGGTTGTCCATCACCCAGGCGGGGTCTGTCCCTCTCAGCTTTCATGTGGGCAGTAGAGAAAATCCAGGGATTTGCTGGGCATTAGAGGGGAAAAAACTATCCCAAGCCCTGCAGGTAACATCATGGAAGCATTTTCCAGCCAAGGAACCCAGGAGCAGCTCTCATTGCCTGTGCAGTGGTTGGAGGTACAGCAGCCCTGTTATTCCACTCGAATCTCAGCCTCCTGGGTGCTCATTAAAGAAAGGCTCCAAGTTTCCTACCTCGTGTGTCAGCAGCATGTGGAGAAGCACTGTGTGCAGCTCTGCGGGGCTGTTACCTCCTCCCCCTGTTATTAATGGGCATTTCTAATCACAGCACTGTCTCCTTTGTAGTCATCCGCTCGCATCGGAGCTGTGCGGGGTGTTGAGCCCTGCTCCAGGCAGAGTTCAAGGGGCTGAAAGGAGAAAGGGGGTCACGATTACTCCGCTCACAAAGGAGTGTTTGGAAGGTCAGAGCCGAGATGCCTGCACAAGCCTGGAGCAGAGAAGCTGTGTTCTCACTTGGAAATGTGCTTCCTTAGTATTTTCCTACCGCCGTTCCAGTCCTCCCCCTGATGTGTCAGGCTGCAGCCATGAATCACTCCTGGGCACGTGGGGAGCACGTGAACACTGCAAAATATTTGGATGGAGAGGAACGGGGGTGGGAGCATGAGATAACCCAGCCAATTGTTCCCAGCTCTTCCAAGTCCTGTGCCCAGGCATCACAGCCTCCAGCATTGGCAAGGGGGTCTTTCCAGGGCTTCTGGTTATGGTGAATGCTGGGCTTTGGTGAGCAAGGCAAAGCAGTTCAGTGGGGTTGGTGTTTTCCAGGAGTGAGCAAGGGTTGCAGGTAGAAAGAGCAGCCTCAGGTCAAGCCCTGGCTGCTCACAAGGCTTTGGCTCCTTGCTTCTCCCATTGGGAGGTTGAGTTGGTGCAGAGACCTGGTGAAGCATCCTCCTTGCCAGCATCCTCTCCCAAAGCTGCCAGGGAGAGGTGGGTGATGTTGGTAATGAGCTGCTGGTTTTAACAGCCCTTTTTGTCTCCCCAACAGCTTCACAGAAGCCATGAAGAGCCAACCAAAGCTGGAGGGCTTGGACTGCCACTGGGCCTATTACTTGGGCTTGGTCATCTTGGCTGTAGGGACCTTGTTTGTCATCACCAGCTTCTTAGCACTGGGATTCACTGGGACGTTCCTAGGTAAGCACTAAAACCTCATCAGCTTAACCAGCAGGTGCATTTAATCCTTGCAGGGGTTGTTTGGTAGGGCAAAGTCCTTCAGAATTCCCTCGCTCGTGCCTTCAGGGCTGTTAGTTTTGGTCTTGGCTTTATGATACCAAAGCATGATCTAACCATGCCATTACTGGCTTTATACAGTGGCATGTGCCCAGAAGCAGGACCTCATTTGCTGTTCCTTCTGCAGTAAACCTGCCGTTGGCTGACAGATTCTTTTATCTACCACTTAATGGCAAGAAGACGTTTTCCACTGTGCCTGTTTCACGTCTAGTCATTCTGTTAGTGCTGTTGACTTTAAAACCATGCCAGTATGTGTGGAATTCATCAAAATAGAATAGAGACGGCAACAATAAATAGATGAGGAAAGGGGGGCAGCTCCCGCTGGCTCCAATAACGACAGCCCCACTTTGACACCGCGTTTAGGCTGTGCTTTTGCAAGTGCTTTACAAGCCAAATTCAATTAGCTCCTGCAGCGGCGGCAGGAAGAAGGGAGGGAGGGAGGGAATAATCCTTCCTGGTTTCAAGCGGACCTGCGGACAAACAGGGTGAGTTGGCCAAGATCCCGCTGCCAGAAACAGAGCTCAGCACTCCTCAATGCGTGTCCTCAGCCATCGGTCGTGCAGCCACTTGGTGCATCCCTGTCCCTCAGCTACCACTGGCATCCTCCACCTGCAGCCCTCAAAGGAGTGATGCTATGCATGAAGAGGGGTTGGGCACAGGAGTATCCGCCAGCAAGAGCTGCTTCGATGCTCCTGAAGTGCAGCCAGGACTGGGCTTGTTTGCGTAAAGCCTGATTCATCCCACCAGGAGGATCCACTGGACTTGAACTGCTGGGAGAAAACCAAACACGAGTGAGTCAGGCTCAGCGTAAGCAGGGAGGGTGGCTCTGTTCTCTGCTCTGCGTGGCTGGTGGCTCCCATGTCCCCTGCGGCAGGGAAGGGGAAGGTGGCAGTGGTCCCTGTCGGGCACTGTTCTTCATCCTCCCTTGCTCTCCCTGTCACCAGTGCACTGGCTCCAAGCCTTGCATGACGCAGCAGGGAGTGAGGCCAGCTCTTTGTGCTAGCTGGGGCACGACGGCAGCAGGGCAGAGCTGAGTCAGGGTAGGGAGATGCCAAGACCCTGGCTGGCTTGGGTTCTCTGTGCCACAGAGGCGTGGTCAAGCTGGAGCCTCATAGAGCGTCCATCCTTGGACTGATAATGGCTTCTCAGCTCCATGTAAGCCCCCACGAGTCCAAGTCAGCAAACTTTGGATGGAGAATGCTCTTCAGGGTGGTTTCTTACCCAGCCACAGGGAAGACACAAAGGGTCTGCAGGTATCCAAGGATCTCTGAAGAGTCAAGGCTGGATACAGGGGCTTGGAGCAAGCTGCTCTAGTGGAAGGTGTCCGTGCCCGTGGCAGGGGGTCAGAACTGGATGAGCTTTAAGGTCCCTTCCAATCATTCTGTTACTCCATGATTCATATTGGATGTTCTCTTGTTCAGGACTCCATTGGGACTGCTACTTCCAGTGTCTTCCTGCACAGAGGGTGTTATGGATGTGCTGGCACTGCAGGAGGAGCAGGGACCCCAGCAGCGATAGCCCTTCTGACTGCAGGTAGCAAAGAGCTGTGCTGCTTTGGCAAGAAGGGAGCATCCAGCTGCTTCTCACAGTTGATACCTGAGCTCAAGTGAAGTTATGGGAGCACCTTGGACAGCCAAACACTCCAAACCCTACTGGAACAGCAGCTGACTCTTTCCATTAGGGTTTTCCTACAGCAGTGAGGGCTGAACCAGGCAGGGCACAGACACTGCCATCAGGGCTGCCTGTTACATCCCTCTTGAACAGCGCATTTAAGCTTTGGGTAGGCTACAGAGCCTTTGTCTCTTGAGTGTGGGCTAAACCGTGCAGCAGGAGCCACGTTAGTCAAAACCTTTCCGTGCCACCCCATCTCCCATGCAGCAGCCCTGACCCCAGCCTCTGTTTGCGGTGGCTGGATGCACCCCTTCATCCCAGCAGCCTTCTCCCCTGCAGAGCAGTGCTCCTGGTGTGCTGTCTCTGCGCTGTGCCCTTACAGGGACTGGAGCATCAGTTCACTCTGTGCCCCATTTCCTGACAAACATAGGCTTGGCTTCCTGGAGGGCACTGAGTGGTGGCTCTGCCCATCTGAGCCCATCTGTCTCACTTCCAAGCATGGTTTCTTCCAGTGCTGACTTGACCAAAGTCTGTTACTGGGCTATGGTGAAGCTGGTGGAGAAGCAGAAGTGATGCTTCAGCCCAGGTCCAGCTCTGGGTACCTTGCAGAGTGCATCAGATGGCTTTTTGCTGCTGTCTGCCCTGAGCAGTGAGCTGGTGACACTCACCTCCAGCAAAGAATAACCCAAATTACATGCCAAAGTCCCTCAGCCTGACAAGGAGCTGATTCCTGATTTGAGGTGGCACAGATGATGCCCAGGCTGATGCTGTGCAAAGCAGCACAGCCCTTATTAGCACCTGCCTGGATGTAAAAACATTGCAGGTCCTCTCTGGTGATTGTGTCCTTTGAATTGTGTGGGTTTAGAGGTAGGGTTTGCATTGGAAAAGCTTGTGTCCTGGGGGAGCAGCCTGCTCCCCCCAGCTGCTGTGTGCTCTTGCTTGCAGGGAGCTTGCCCAGAGGATCCGCAGCCCCACTGGTGCAGGGTACAGATAAGCCCCATGGATCCAGAGCTTTGTGCAGCCCTCTCCAGTGCCAGCATCATTTGGGGAGCGAGGCATTCAGCCCAGAGGCGAGGGCAGGCAGGGGATAATGAAGCATTTTGACACATAAAAAAGCACAGAAATGGGCTGTGGCAGGGGGTGATGTGTTCTTTCTCCCGGAACAATCTCGGAGATGCATTGCCAAGTAACTGTGAGAACATATAGTATGAATACGAGGCAATTATCTCACTTAGTGGCCTGTAGTTAAAGCCCAAAAGCATTGTCTAATTGGGCAGGCGCTGTTTATTAAGGATAAGAAATGTTTTTGCACCATGTGAGGTCAGAGAAATTACACCACGATCCAGGTAATAATCATAACCTTGAATAGTTTGCACTCTGTAATGCCTTTTATCTGGATTTCCAAGCACTTTCTCACCATACATTAATCCTCACCACCCTCTGCGCTATAAGAAAGACTGATATTATGATCGGCGCACAATAGCGCTGGGAGGGATGGAGGGAATTTGCCCAAGGTCAGGGAACAGGCTGGCAGCAAACCTGGAACACGATGCAGGGTGATGGCAGCTCCTGGGCTGATGGATCAGCACCGCTCCTCACCTGCATCTCGTACAATGGACATGGAGCAAAGTCCTTTGTGGTCCTGCTTGTGAGACCAACAGGAGTCAGAGATGCGCAACCCGGTCCTTTCCGTCCCCCAAAAATGCTGCTCCCAACCTGCACAACATCTCCTCTTTTCCAGGCTCCTTTCAGGAGGGTGGAAGGATTGCTCCGAGGTAGGTAGGAAGCTGGTTGGGTGCTGACAGCTCTGAAAGCTTCCCTCATTACCGTTGACAATCCCCTATTATCATCACCATCGTGTCGATAATCGAGTGTTTTGTAGGCAGAGGTGCTATTTTCTGACGTTCTGAGAAATTCTCTGCACTGTGAGCAAAGGGTGACACTAAATGAGGGCATTTGGTGATGGTGCTGGTCATGATTAGGGCATCTCGAGAGACCATTACAGCGCACTGGGCTTATTTCCCCATTAAATGGATTTGATCCCATGCACTTGCTTCCTCGTCAAGTGGCATCAGACAGGCGGTTTTCGGATGAGAAAGGCAGAATCAGCCAGTTGGGACCTCGAGAGCTGCCTGCTGATGAGGGACGTGGCTGCCATAACCTCATTGCAATGCACAGAGCTCCCTCGTGGGCAAAGAGCCATTCCTGGAAGAGCTGATAGGCACAGAGCAAGCAGCCAACCTATTTGTTGCTGTTCCCTCAGCCTGGCAATCGGCAGCAAAACCCCTCCTTTGCCTTCGCTCTGCAGCCCTGGCAGGGATGCCCTGTGGCACAAGGAGGGTATCATTGTGCCAGCACCCCCCCCCCTTGCACCTCCCAGCTCCATGGTGCTTAACCAGAACCCCTCTGTTTGCTCTCTAGGTGATTACTTTGGCATCCTGATGGAGGCAAAAGTGACCAGCTTCCCCTTCAGCGTCCTGGATAATCCCATGTACTGGGGCAGCACAGCCGTCTACCTGGGCTGGTCTCTCATGTGAGTACATGCAGCATCAGGGGACAGAGATGCACTTAGCTTTGGCAGCCAGCAGCAGCATGGCAGGGAACGTGCCCCATGCCAGGACTCCTCACCTCCTGGCTATTTCTGGGCATGCAAAATCTGCTGCTGCCATAAAAGACTCACGGCATTAATAGTAGGGAAACAAATAACAGCCGGGTGCTGAAAGGGGAAAGGAAGCATCAGCAAAGGCTCCGCAGCGCAGTGAGGTCCTTGGCAGGCTCTGCACGTGGAAAAACCAACAGGCAGGGCTAGAGTCATGCCGGGTGTCACTCAGCAGGGGCAGGGCACTGATACCAGGGATCAGGGAGGCCCTGTAATTACCTCTGGGAAAAGCAAAACAAGCCAACACACCCTTTCCCCCACCAGCACGGTGATAACGCTTCCGAAACACTCCTCATGTGATACAACACAGCTTAATAGCCTGCTTAGGAGGAAATGAATAGGCTGTAATTTAGCAGCAAATGAGCAATGTATTCTGTTCTGTGTAACAAGTTTTATGTGGTTTTCATTTGATCTCACATTTTATGTATTTGCCCAGGAGGAAAACCAAACCCTGGTTGTGTTCCCTTGGGAGCCTGGAGAGTGTAGTGGGCCACTATCGTAGAATCAGGGATTGGGTTGGGTTGGAAGGGACCTTAAAGCTCATCCAGCTCCAAGCAAGGACACCTTCCACTAGAGCAGCTTGCTCCAAGCCCCTGTGTCCAACCTGGCCTTGAGCACTGCCAGGGATGGGGCAGCCACAGCTTCTCTGGGCACCCTGTGCCAGCACCTCAGCACCCTCACAGGGAAGAAAGGAATGGGGCAGAGCTGGGGCAGGAGGAGCCCCCCAGCACCACACCACAACCAGCACCACCACCCTAAAACAGTGCAGAAGGAGGAATTAGACCAGGAGGAATTATAAAGTGAGTTTAAGATCAGCATCGTATCGTTTCCTAGGACCTTTATGGAACCCACTGAGCTCTCCTGAGCTCTTTATGACACAGAAATCTCCTCTTCACCCCCGCGAGAGAGCAGCCTTGCGTGATGCTTGCTCTTCCACTGCAATCACAGGCAAAAGCAGCTCGAGACAGCGTTGTAATTGCCTCCTTTGCCTCGTTCAAAGGCTGCCACAATAAAGGGCAGCGAGGCACGATCAGTAATTGCTCTGAAATTGCTGGAGCTGTGCAAAGCGGCACCGGGACAGCGCCCGCCTGCCCTGGGGAAGCTCTGCACAGCCCTTCCCGTGGTGTGGTTTGGAATCTCAGCTCATAGAATCACAGTTACTGAGGTTGGAAAAGACCTTTAAGGTCGCAGAGTCCAGCCATTGACATAATGCTGCCAGGGCCAGCACTAAACCATGTCCCCAAGTGCCACGTCTACGTGTCTTTTAAATACCTGCAGGGATGGTGCCTCCACCGCTGCCCTGGGCAGCCTGTTCCAATGCTTGACAACCCTTTGGGTGAAGAAGTTCTTCCTAATATCCAGTCTGAACCTCTCCTGATGCAGCCTGAAGCCATTTCCTCCGCTCCTATCCCTTGTTACTTGGGAGAAGAGACTGATCCCCTCCCTCACTACATCCTCCTTTTGGGTAGCTGTAGAGAGCGTAAAGTCTCCCTCAGCCTTCTTTTCTCCACACTAAACTACCTCAGTTCCCTCAGCTGCTCCTCATCAGACTTGTGCCCAAGGGTCCATAAGACCCTTCACCAGCTCCATTGTCCTTTGGACATGCTCCAGCTCAGGATGCTGAGGTTTATTGGGGAGTCCAGGTCTCTTTTGAGGTCCCGGAGCTCTCAGAAGACGTTAGGTGCCCGAGCTGACGTCCCAGCTCCGTGGCAGTGGGAGGGATGCCGGAGGAATGAGCCTGGTTCTGGTCAGACCTGGCACATAGAGCATATCTGTCCTCCTTTGGTGATGTATCACACTCGATATCGTACCATCAGAGCCCAAAGGATTGATTCATTTTCCTCCGTAAGGGCACATAGCACAGTACGTAAGCGAGCCTGGCAGCGCACCAGGCAGCCTGCCTTCCTACTCCAGTCCAGCCTTACAAGCATCTCATGGGGTGAGAGCAGCTGGTTTCTCCCTTGCAGGATGCTGCAGCTATCCCCAGCTCAACTAACTGCACCAAAACCATGTCCACCACATGCACTGGAGAAGGTCAGCATGAAAACAAGAGCTCCAGGAGGAAAGGACAAAGCGGGTGTCCCACATCCAATATCCAGGACCAGTAAGGCTGATGGGGAAGGATGCAAATCCCTCCTGTTGCTTTTACAGGCAACCCGCAGCCTTGGGGAGCTGCAGCAGGATTGGGGACAGACTTCTCACCCCAAAAAAAGCCCTACTGAGGCCATGCAATCTTTGTGGCTGATTCATTGTCAGCACTGCTACAACACTGAGCTGTTGCCCAATGAGTAGGGCTAGCTCCTAAGAGGAGAGAAACAACTCACCCAAATGCTTCTCATTGCCCGTGTCGAGCAGCCTCATTTCTCCTGCAAGACAAATGGAGCATTAGCTGTTTGGGGACAGCTTTGTGTATCTCTGGTAGGGAAGTGTTTTAACTCATGGCAACAGGCTGTGTAAATCAGAGCTGGAGCTGCAGCCAAATGATGCAATTAGAGGTCTTGCTGTCAACAAACAATCATGCAAATTTGTTCTCTCTGATAGGAATCAAGGAGGAGACATGACTAAGCATGTAATAGCAGGGGGTTGGGAGGGGAAGAAGTTGCCCAGTGCTTCCTAATGAGGGAAAGAACTTAGTGCAGAATGGAAACAGTGCAAAGGGGAAGATTTGTGTCTGGCTCTCCAGGAACTGATTAGACCAAGTGGTACCTGAAAGCGGGTCCAGGCTGAGGTTTAGGTTGGTCTCCCTGAAGGCATGTTTTCACAAGGCTTGCAGGGTGTTTATCCTCACCAAGGACCAGCTAAGTTCCTTTTTGTGCTGACAACCAGCTCTTGTCCCCCTCTGAGCTGCAAGCAGCAATTAAAGGCAGTCAGCAGCATCCTCATTAAGGGCAATGCTTGCAGCCAGTAGCAGGAGGTGCAGGATGCAGAAAGGGTGTCTGGGGGATGTGGTGCCTGTGGTGAACCAGACAGCCAGAGCCCTCGAGTGCCACAACCAGACAGTGCAGCGGGTGGCATCGGTCCCCTATGCCTGGCCTTGGGAGGTGTAGGACGTGTTCCTGTTCCTAAACACCTTGGAATGGATTTAAACATGATCCAAGCCCCCAGCCCCAACGCAGCACCCACCCTAGCACCCTTCATGGGGCAGGTATGGACCTCTCCATCCCCATCCCTGCAATGACTCAGTGCCATTGGGGTGTCACGGTGCCATACACTGCTCCATCTGCCAAGTATCTCCCGCGCCCTTGGTGGCCCATCTTCCTGTGCACATCAGGCACTGCCCTTCCAGCACACTGGATGGGAGCCAGAGCCATATGTAAGCAGCTGCTCAGCTATTAAACAGCTTTATAATCTCAGGATTTAGCATCAAAGCAGAAGCTCTCTTAGCAGAGGCGTGCAGGGATCAGAAAGGCTGGGGAAGAGGCTTTGCCAAGGAACATCTGTCTGAGACAGTTAACGTTAGCTATACAAACCCAGCCCTTTTAGTCACGTCTGTTTAATGAGGAAGAGGGGAGCCCAGCCTCTCATTTCACTTTCTAAACCAGGTCTTGCATAAGCCCTCCTACTCACCTGCTCTTCTCTTTCAAAACAGGCACGCAAGCCCAGCTGGCCTTTTGCTGACAGCAGTCGTGGCAGTGTCCTACACAATCGCCACGCTGTATGAGGGGTGAGTAGCTCTGTGCCACTGAAGAGCTTCCAGTGATCCCAACCAGCCTTAACTCGTGAGGTTTTGGGGAGCAGCACAGGCAGGGATGGGGTTTTCCAATGGATTCAGCAGGGAAGAAGGAAAACAAGAGGATCGTTTCTCAGTTGTTTTCACAATGGGCAGATTCCACCCTGCAACTGTTTGCTGAGTTATAGGAACATAGATGCTGGGGTTTATTCCTATCAAAAGGAGATGATCTTTCCATTCTGGTGCCTGTTTCTGCTGATACAAGAGCAATAAGGAAGGCAGTGAGAGGATTCATTCTGTCATCTCAAGAGACCCTGCAAGAAGAGCTTGTATTGTATAGCTCCTTGCATGGGCTTCTCTCCTGTTTGGTGCCACAATAGCTCGGCAGCCCAGGACAGAGCAGCCCTGAATTATCCCCAGGAGCAGCAGTAGTACTTGAGCATGAAGAGTCTTTTGTGTTTGCAATAGAGGAGGAGATGCAAAGGGAGGTGAGGATGCTCGGTGCGCACGGGGAGTCTGAGCGTGTGCTGAGCCTCGTGCTGCTTGGTGCAGGGATGATCCCAGCTTGGAGCCCGGAGAGATGGAGCCAGGGATTGCCATAGGGATAGTCACAGGCCAGCCTGCAAAGGGCAGAGTTTCTGGGTCCAACAGAAAGCATGCAGTCATCTTTATATTAATTTCCCCCCCCCCCTTCTTTTGCCCCTCTCTCGTGTCTCTGCCCCCTCTCCCCCCAACTTCCCAACTACAGGCCCTTCACAGAGGAAATATATCGGCAGAAACAGAAGGGAGCCAAGAGCAAGTAGCAAGAGGTATGTTTGCCAATGAGCATTGCAGCAAGAGGGGCTGCTTCACACCTAAGGGCACGTTAGATGGGGATGGGAGCACCCCCTCACCCCTTCCCAATGCATCCCTGCCCAGCCCTGCCTTTCCCAGCTCCTCCAGAGCCCTTCCTGCCCTTCCCCATGGATTTGAGCTTCCAGCCTCCACAAAACCCCATACAGTAAGGCTTTACACAGCAGTGATTGTGGCTGCCTCTTGACACTCAACCCCCAAATTGCTTTGATTATATACTTGAGAGTGCGAGGGCAGGATGCTGGGGAGCTCTGAGGCTCCAGCTTAGTCTAAATCAGGCAGAGAAAAGCAGTTATTGCCCACGGTAGGTGCTCCAACAAGCAGCAAGGATGGTGTGAGAGGGCATGTGAGGCATTACCCCACAGGGAAATAGAGCATCCCTGTTCCAAGGCTGCTCCTTGCCCCAGCCAGGAGCATTTCTGCACATGGGCACCCCAGAAACTCCTTTTGCTTTGGCTTCCTTTTGGTTGGAGGGGCTGGACAAGCCCAAGTGCCATCACAGTTGAGGTTCTGGCAGCCCCATAGCCTTTGCCCCAACCGAAGATGCTCTAGCACATAGGTGAGGTGCTGTAGGTGAGGTCTCTAACAAACTCATGTCTCTCTGCCTGTTGCAAAGCAACGTCTCTGATACCTCGCTCAGCGTCCCCACGCTGGCCCGTTTGCCCGTTTTCCTACTGAGATGTATCCTGTGATTAGCCCAGCACCCCTTAATGAGCCAACTGAGCACCCCGCAGGATTGGAAGCAAGGGGAGGAACACCTCCTCGCTGCAGGAGATGGAGGTCCCTGTCCCCAGGTCTCTGTCCCCATTGCCGGGTCACTGAAGGTGGGACCTCCCAGCTTGTTACTGGAGATCTGCAGGGGAAGAAGCAGTTCAGCACCAGCCCTGGACTGGAGGGCAAGAGGTGATGGAGACACTGGGACCTTTCTGTAAGTAACCTCTGAGAGTGGGGAAGCACCAACTGAAGATGCTGCTGAAGAGCCAGGGGAAGAGAAAGGCTCAGGTGAAGCAATGGGGAGGGCTCAGGAGCTCCTGACGTGTTCAGGCATGGCTGGAGAAGGAAGAAAGGAAAAACTGCTGTAAACCCAAAACCTGCTGTGAACCCAACAACAAACCCTCTCTCTTCTGGGAGAGGGGAATTTCCCCATCCAGAGCTGTGGTTTCCCGCCTGTAGCATCTCCACACTATGTGGAAAGGTGACTGAAGAGCATGAAGAAGTGAAGGAACAACCTAAACCACCACCCAGGGGTGATGAAGGGCTGGCAGCCATCCATGGGGAAACTGCAGCATGGAGAAGACCAAAGGGAAGAGTCAATCCCCGTCTGCGCCCTGCAGATACCCCATCCTTGGCCGTGTCCATGCCCTGGCTCCTTCCTTTTCCCACATGAGGGTCCTGCCTTCCCTTCCCCACCACCCAGTGCCTTCCAGCTGTTTCCCACTGCGATGGGAGGGAGGGGAAGGGCTGCTTCTGCCTTTAGCACTGCACAGCAGCCAGCTATGGATCTGCCCCTCCAACCTTACCACCAGCCTCTGCAAGTCCCAAAGAGCCCGGTGCTGGATCCTGCCCTGAATGAACGCATCCCAGGGGTGATGCTCCAGACCCTCAGGCTCAGTGTTTACAGATTCCCAGAACAGTTGGAGAAATAAGCTGTAAATGACCAAAAAAGAGGCAGTGTGAAGCTCCCCCTGCACTGCTGCTGACTCTCCGGGATGCGGTGTCGCATCTCAGCATCACGATGCGGTACCACATCTCAGCATCACGTTGTCCCCTCCACAGAGGGTCCTCCCTTTTCTCAGTGTCACCTCACGGTCCCATTTCCTCTTGCTTTTGCATGTTGTAATTCACCCTTCGGGCATTGCTCAGCAGGAATTAAAAGCGTTGGTTTCTTTTCAGTCCAGCCTCTTGTTTCCTTGGGCCGAGCTCACGGATGCTGTGTGTGTGTTTCCTCCCCATCACACAAGGATCTGTTTTAATCGCCATCCCCTCAACTTTCCTCTTAAAGACTTGGGCATAGTGGTTTATTTTTAGGTAAGTTTCCTCATCCCCTTCCACCGTTAATGTTTATAGACTGGGTTTAAAGAGCCCAGTGCCCATAGCAACCAGCACGGCGAGGATACGTTGCATTAGCCAGGCAGTTTATGTCAGAGTTGCTCGCCCTGGCTCCTAGTCTCTGATGTAAATAAACTTGGCTTTGTTGATAGGTGAAATCAGTATTGAACCAAAGAGCCACGTGCTTGTTTGGGAAGGATGACTCTTAATGAGGTCGCAGCAAGGGCTATGTCTGTGCTGTCTCATTCCCAGTCTGGGACCACGTACACCTTTCCCTAACCATATCACAAGGCTTGGGGGGGGTCTCCATTTGTGCCATTCCCATCCTCAGCCCACATCTATCACCATAAACCCCAGCGATGGAGCTGCTTCCTCTCCCGTGCCCACAGCATCCCAAAAGCATCAGGACCTGCTTCATGGACGCCTTCCTCCTTTTTCAAACCTAATCCCAACCCAACCTTTCCCACTTCCCAACCACTCCAGGTCAGCACAAGGGGTTTTGCTGGGGCTGTGCCAGATACATCCGCGTTTTCAGTAGCTCTTCCTGCAGCAGCCAGCAGGGATTAACGTGTCTCTGCCTTCACAGCCCCAGTTCTGGCTGCCGTAGAGCCGGAGTTGGACGTTTCAGAGGCATCTGCTCTGTTCCCTAAAGCAGATCCGAGGAGCTGGAAGGTGATGTTCAGCTCATCTCATGGGGTCCAAGCCCACATTCCTCCCTTGGGGGATGCTGTTGGCTCTGGCTGGGGCCAGTCTTCGGCAGTGCTGTGCTGCTCACTAGGGATGGGAGGAGGAGAACACAGAGACACTGTTATTTATATTGCTTTATGGTATTTATCAATGAGGGATTAACAGCATTGATTCATCTCCAGTTACCTGATGTCTCGAAGAGTTTGAGGTTACAGAGGGTGGGGATGAACCCTTCAAGCTGAGCACCACCATTGGTGGTGCCGCAGGACCGGTGATGCAGGGATGGACACCGTGATCTCTGGGTCAGGATGTGAGACTCCTGCTGCATCCAGAGGAGTCTCTGTGCCATCAGACCCCATGGACCAGGCAGCTGCAGTCCCAATGCCATGCTGGCATGGGGGGGGGATCATCCCTCTGCCTCTTGGAGAGGCATCGAGCAGCAATGGGGTCCTAGGAGATGTGGTCACGGGAAGTGTTTTCCTAACTTTGTGGCTTCAAAACGCAGCCGTGGGTCCCTGGGAGCTTGGCAGGGAGGTTGTTTGCAGCCTTGGGAGATGCCACACGTGAGGCTGGGTGCAGATAACGCCTCCCTTGATGTTTGGGCCATTGCTCCAGAGCAAACACCGGGGAAGGGGGATCTGGTTAAATCACAACTGAGCCTGGCGGGGATGGATGGGTCACCGAGTCCTCTGCGCTGCGCTGCCTTGGGTCGCCCTGTCCCACAGCCCCCAGGGTGGCTCTGCCACCCTCATGCTCTACGTGGCTCCTCTCCCTAAGCTGCGTGTGATGTGTTCTGGAGGGTGAGGGATCCCCCATACAAACCCCAATGGCCCCAGTGGTAGGAGCATGGTGAGGGGGCAGCACCATGCTCAGGGGAGACCTTAGAGCAGCTCCAGTGCCTAAAGGGGCTCCAGGAAACCTGGAGAGGGGCTTGGGACAAGGGACGTAGGGACAGGCCAAGGGGAATGGCTTTAACCTGCAGAGGGGAGACTGAGATGAGCTCTTAGGCAGAAGCTCTTCCCTGTGGATGGGGCTTGGAGCAAGCTGCTCCAGCGGAAGGTGTCCCTGCTTGGAGCTGGATGCGCTTTAAGGTCCCTTCAACCCAAGCCAGGCTGTGATTGATGCAGAGAGGAGCCGGGCTCGGTAAACAGCTCCCCACTGGAATAAACCACGACATGGAAAAAGCAGCACATTCCTGTGATTCCTGTTTGGAGCTGGGCTCCGAGGAGGAAGCGGCGCAGCGTGGCAGCGCTCCGGGCTGTCCCGGCGGCCTTTTGGTTGTGCAAGCTAAAGCAAACAGCCTCGTACCTCGTCCTCTGGCTCGTGGTGGGAGCTCCGTGCGTAAAGGCCCCCGGGGTGGAGGGCGGTGTTGGCTGGATGCGATCCCTGGCCGTGATGTGAAGGGCAGCGGGGATGTTGGACCTGGGATGCTGCTGCTCTCCCGGCACTGAAGCATCCTCTGGGCATCCATGGGGAGTGCCTGCAGCTGCAGACCCCAGAGCAGGAGCTTGCCGTGTGGCTCGATCCCTGCTCTGCTGAGGTGGGACAAATCCTGGTCCTGCCCTAGGTGCTGGTTTGGGCTCCAAGGCTGGTGGTTTCCCACCTGGAAACAGCTGCTTCTCGGGGTAATCCTCCCACTGTGTTTCTTTGTGGGTGTTTAAAGCTCAGACTGTGTTCCCTGCACTTCAGGGACGGGGGGAGCGGTTTATTCCCATGTAAAGGTAAGTCCTGGCGTGTCTCCCATCTGCCTTCTCTGGATTGAGGGGTCCCTGATAAAGCATAGAATCATGGAATCCCAGCCTGGTTTGGGTTGGAAGGGACCTTAAAGCTCACCCAGCTCCAACCCCTGCCATGGGCAGGGGCACCTTCCACTAGAGCAGCTTGCTCCAAGCCCCTGTGTCCAACCTGGCCTTGGGATGGGGCAGCCACAGCTTCTCTGAGCAAGTCCGTGCCCAAACTGCCCCTTCCAGTGCCAGTGTCCCTGGATGCTCAAAGCTCATCTTTGCTGGAGGCAGACGAGCATCTCCCCTGCTCACCAATGGCTGTGTGTGGGTTCAAGCTCAGCCCCGGGATGGGAGCCCCGGAGCACACCCCCCTTGGTTCCCTTCCATCTTCCCCTATAGCAGAAGTGCAGACTCAGCGCGGCTGCCCCGGTTGCACCATGTGTTTATCCTTGTTCCTGGCTATGGGGTTTGTTTGTCACACAAGGGCCGGTGGCCATCCCTCCCCTGGGGGAAGACAAACACAGGAGTGGGGTTACTTGTGGTCACAACCAAGTGCAGGTCCTCTGGGGACTTGGCCCTGGTCCTGGATGGCCTCAGCATCACGATGCCTTCAGTGAAAGGAGCGCAGCATCATGGAATGGGTTGGGTTGAAGGGACCTTAAAGCTCACCCAGCTCCAAGCCCTGCCATGGACAGGGACCCCTTCCACTAGAGCAGCTTGCTCCAAGCCCCTGTGTCCAACCTGGCTTTGGGATGGGGCAGCCACAAGTAAATGGGGGTCGCAGGAGGGAGGCAGAGCAGCCCGAGCCCCCTGGGAAGGAGGCACCAGAGCCTGCGGTTCTGTTCTGCTGCTGCATCAGGAAGCCTTGA